GTGGTACATATATCACAATTGATGAGCCTACATCGACACATCATCCCCATCCCAAGTCCGTAGTTTACATTAGGGCCCACTCTTGCTGTTGTGCGTCCCATGAATTTGGACAAATGTAGAATATGTGTGCACCGCCTCTCCCATTATCATTGTCCCACGAGAGTGGTACATATATCACAATTGATGAACCTACATCAACACCTCATCCCCATCCCAAGTCCATAGTTTACATTAGGGCTCACTCTTGCTGTTGTGCGTCCCATGAGTTTGGACAAATGTAGAATGATATGTGTGCACTATTACAGTATCATACAGAGTACAATACTGTAAATCCAGCTCTAATAATCCTCCGTGCTCCATCTGGTCTTAACTCAAAAGAGAGTGCAGAGCCTTTGGCCAATAGTCATCACAAAACGTTCTGAAAAAGGGCAAGGCCTACTGTGACCTTCAGATAAGTCACATAGAACAAAGTCACACAGCAATTTTAAAGTGGGAAATTCATGACATTTCAGGGCTGTTTCATAAAAGGAGCCATCAGACAGCGGACCAATCAGCGCACCATTCTGCCAGCCTAAATGATGCCTCTGAGCTTTTGCTCTGATTCTTGGTGCATCAGGTGTAAAAAGAGACTCTTAAAAAGTGCATGTAGATATCAAAAAGGAACTAATTGTCTTCTTCTGGGATTTTTCTCTAATACACATACAATCAAACTGTATCAGGACCCTGCTAGAGGTACACACAGATATAAAGTGATGGGGAGAGCCTCTAGCTCAGTGAGGGCATATATTCCTTTGGAGTCAGAAATTCAATGATATCTGCCTTTGATCAGGATCATAAATATTGTCTTATGATGAGAAATAACTGTCTTATACCATTAAATGAGTGTCTTGAAGAAGCAAAGAGTGAAGATGGTTTTCCAGTAGATTTAATGATCTTGTTGGGAAAATTTTCTCAGAATGTTAGATTTTGTAGAAGAATTTCCACCTACAACCCTGAATTTCCAAACCACTGAAGAAAAAGGATATGGAGTAGAAAAACAAACAAACACATGGCTGTTGCCTAATTACCTGGAAACAATTATTCCTTGGGGGGGGGGGCGGACTTTAGTCATGAGGTCAGCAGTGGTTGGTTAAATTGCAATTCTTATTTTTTACCCACATTCAGTTTTTTTGGTATTGTTGTAAAGCATTAAACGGTTTGATATTCTAGACATCCTTGGCATTATTCTAAAGTTCAAATTTAGTTCTTTTAAAATATTGGTTGCCTACTCTTAAGGCAAGCACCCTGCCTTAGTTACCAGGTACTCCCTGACAACGACAAAGGGCCTCTTTTCATTGTGGAGAATCGCTCTTGTAAACAGTGAACCATGAAAAATAACCGTGGTCACTCATTTGCCACTGCATAGGTTATGGTCCAATGGAGCCCCCTCGTGGTCAAGCCGACTCACTCCTTTTGGATGTCCCTCAAGTCATTCATTGGGCAACACAGGCTGTCATTCGACTCTGTTCTCCACAACATGTCTGCTACGTGCAAGCTTTAGCCTGTGCTTTCAGAATCTGCTTACCCTGAATCTCTTCCAACTCATTTGAAAGGCCAACTTTTTGTTGTTGTTGTTTCAAATCCTGGGAATACTGAGGAGCAGGAGCCAGAATGGATGTCAGAGGTTTGGGCACAGCTAGTTGCAATGGCAGTTGCGGTCTTTGAGCAGCGGAGGCGGGGCTAGTCTAAGACAAAGCTGGACTTGGCCCCGCACAGCCAAGGAGATGTTAGCCATTGGGGAAATGGAGAGTGTGGGGAGCCAACAGGAATTCCACTTTGGCTGCACTTTTCCACGAAGGGGGCCTTATACTTACCTGAGGGCTATTGGCTCAGTCCAAAAAGCAGTAACCCCCCCCCCACCCCCGCAAAAAAACAACAACCCAGCACACTACTGCGGGTATTGGTTTGCTCTGCAACACACTGGCTCAGTGATAGGAACTTAGATGATTTTTCCCTTTTTCTGTTTAGCCAAAAACCAAATATCCTTGGAACTATGATGGTGATGAGCCTGTAAAGGAGGTCAAGTTGATGAAGAAGGAGGCATCAGTCACACTCCCCTGACCCTCCCTATGCGTTGGGGACCCATTGCCATAGCATTTAGCTGCCAGTCCTCTGCCCATCCTTTCCTTTTAAGCATACAGTAAACTGCTCGCCTACAGGCGGTACCGTGGTAACAGGTTGAATGCGCTACTAAAACAAAGAAAACAACCCAAAGGCAACCACAATACAATGCCTGTGTTCCAGTCCCCAAATTTCCTCCTGAGATACAGAAATGTACCTGAGAATGAGCTGAGAGCAGCGGTCCACAGAACGTGGGCGTTATTCCTGTGTCTCAGCTGAGTGGTGTCGATGAACATGAGCTCATTCTAATATGTATTGTCCCTGAAAAACGTGTCATTGAATTAGCATTCTCTCCTGACTGGCATTCGATAAAAGGACTGTAAAGTGCAGCTCTTCCAAGAGCCCTCATTAACCTAACGTAGCTGCATCTACATCTATTCCCTTCTCTCTCCGCATCCATGTGGAGGCAAATGCAATGCATGCTAGTGTCCTCACTGTTCAGAGAGGAGAGAAGGTCACGATGGAAAACGTACACATTGCTTGTCCTCAGCCTACTCCCCGAGTGGAAGCCATGTCTGTGTGAGGCTGTGGGTGGCATCCAACAAACTGGAGAGGGGAGCTGCTCCCGCCCCGACTGTCCTCCTGGGAGGGTTGCCTCCCAGCACCCGAAGCACCCACCCTGCAGGAAGCATCGCGCCTGGTGCGCATAAGTGTAACCAGACGAGGGGACCCGGCTGCCTGTCCCTGCTTGAGCCAATGAAGCAGAGACAGGGTTGCATCATATATGAGCATTTATTCCAATACTGCCGGCAGCATGGGGAGCAGCAGGTCATCCACAAAAATCTGCCCTTCCCCTCCCCCCCCAAAACCAGCTGCTTATATTGGATAGAAGGACAAAGCTATGGGGAGCAGCAGGTCATCCACAAAAATCTGCCCCCCCCCCCCCCCAAAACCAGCTGCTTATATTGGGTAGAAGGACAAAGCTTACATGGGGAAGTAGGCAACAGGGTATGCCAAATGGGCAGTTTGCAGGTAACATGGCTGGAGATTTGCAAAGGCCTGCGGCATGGCAGGCACAGGCTGGGGGTCTTCACAGGGCTGGCAGCTCTGGTTTCTGCAACAAGGCTGTTCATCTTCCCATGATAACAGGCCGCTCCCGATGGGGAGGATGGGCTGCATTTCCAGGTGAGCTCCCAGGTCCCACGTGCAACCAGCCAGGTTAGAATGTGCCCTCTTTCATCAGAACAAACCAATCCCCGTGAACAGGACATGATTCATATTTCTTACAATGACAGCTGGTCCCCAATATTCTATTTCTGCCCCTATCATAAGGTTGTCGTGTAATGTGCCCGAGCTGGTCGAGGCCAGCAGCAGTGTCCTGGCTGCGCCTCGTGCCCATTGCCAGCCCTCGCTGTGACCGCTGGTGATTAGGGGTGAGGACCCGCAGCACCTGGGAAGTGGCGAGGAGACCTCGGCAGGGGAAGGGAGGGAAGGGGAGGGGAGGTCAGGGGACCAGGAGTGTGAGGCTGATGGAGAGCCCCACCCCCCTGCATGCATGAGACACTGTCAGGCTGTGGTTTGAGGAACTCTGGGCCAGAGGTGCCCCTGCAGGCAGCCCATCCAGGCTGTCAATCAACGAGCAGTGAGTGGGCAGCCTCTGTACACCTCCCCGGCCTGAGGGTTTGCTGTAAGTCACTGTGCGTCAATCAGAACGGTTACTTGGATGCCTGCAGAATGTACAGTGACGGAGGGAGTAGTAGCAGGACCTGTTCGCTCTCTCCCTTCCTCTTCTCGCCTCTCCTCTGCTTCACCTCCTCCCTATCCCCTCCTTCCATCCTATTCCTGCTCCCCTCTCTCCCCTCCACTCCCCTCTCCTGTCCCTTCTTCCTTCTTTTTAAAAAGGTCTGAAGGCAGGCAGGACACCGGATTACATAGTACTATTGTGTGACTCTCTCAGAAGAGCAAAAGGAACTGGGAAGTGGGGAGAAATGAAAAAAAGAGATTTGAAAAAAAGGACATCATGTTTAAGGGAAAATAACCCTCAGGGCATGAACCAGGGACCAGTTCGGTAAGGACCAAGGGGCCCTGCTGGGAAGAACGGAGAAGATGGATGAGTGAAGTCAGCCTCGGGGCTCACTGTGCCGGCAGCTGGGCAGCGGGTATGACCTGGAATGTGGGGACAGCAGATTGAAGACCAGTGATTTAGAGCCCAAACAGACTTCACTCTGGAGGGCTGTGTGTGATCCTGTGGGTCTGTGAACAGAATGCCCGTTCTTCTCTCTTCCAGTGATTAATGGTCACACCCTGTGTTTGCGGCTGTTACTAGAAATCGCAGACAACCCGGAAGTGGTTGACGTGAAAGATGCCAAAGGACAGTAAGTGTCTCCGCTGGGCCGGGCCGGCGGTTCATTTCAGTCACGGTGGGTGATGGTTGGTTGGTTTAGCCGCTGGGAGGGCTGACTGCTGAGCGTGAGGTTGGGGGGTACATGTTTGGGTGAAATTCACTGGCTGAGGACCCTGGAATAATGAGGTAGCTTCGTGTCAGAGTATATGCAGGGACAGGCAAAGGTAGGGCTATGGTTGCTCATATGGAAAAAGACGCAGCTTATGATGATTACAATAGCTCTATTAACTCTAAAGAATGTCACCACGGGACTTAGGAGAGTCTACCTAAGTGCAGTGTGTGTGTGTGTGTGTGTGTGTGTGTGTGTGTGTGTGTGGATGAAAAAGAGCCAACTTTGTATGTCAAAACTCTAGCTTTTCTAACAAGTGCATCCACATTAACAAACTTAGCTAGATTTGGCTGCGTTTTCCTCTTCCATTCCTTTCTTTTTTCTCCTTTTATTTTCCTTCAGATAAAACAGATTTGTATGTTGTCAGCCAAATTAAGACAAATCCTCATTTATCCCATTTACAAGCTCAGCAGAGAAATGTCATAAAGGTATTCACAACCTTATTCTTGCACCTTTAAAACCTAATTATTGCAAAAGAATGTACAGCAAAAACTTAAAATGAAACTTCAAAACTGGCAGCTTGTATTGACTATGACCTTCTATGGAAAAGGTATAACTATTCTCTAATATTAAACACTCATTGTTGTACATATTACATTTAACACATTGCAAAATACTTAGACACATCTCATTGGAGAACCTCACATAACCCTTTGAGGATGAAATCCAAGGATTAGTGCTCCCCATTTTGCCGATTAAATAGGTGGGGAGAGTTTAGTGACTGATGAGCTTATAAGATCACACAAGTTTCATTTGGCAAATCCACATCTTCTTGTACTACTAATATATTTTCTGAGAATAACACTTCTTTGAAAGAAATTTCAATTTATTAAAGCAAAACTAAACTTGCTTACAGATTACACAATGCAAAACCTTGTAATGCATGGGGAAGTAGTTTCTTACACCCTTTTCTCATCAATGAAATGAACTTGGCCAATCATGAGCAAAAGTGATACATTCAGGAAGTTTGTCATCTGGATCTTAACACCCTCTGGGCTTCTGTTTGCTTCACACCTCTTCATCCATCCAAAAAGAATAAAGCATTTCAAAGATCAATGTGTTACCCTTCTGGCTGTCTACAGGGCATAAAGAAACAGTCAGTAAGGACAAACCCCTATGTATCTCTAAGAAGGTAGTTAGTTCTCTTTTACCTTTTGGAGAATTGTTGTGTGTGTGAGAGAGAGAGAGAGAGAGAGATAGAGATAGAGATAGAGATAGAGATAGAGATAGAGAGAGAGATGAGAGAGAGAGAGAGAGAGAGAGAGAGAGAGAGAGAGAGAGAGATGGAGACAGAGACAGACAGAATGACAAAGAGAAGGAGTTACTCCCACTGGAAGTAATGAGTATTTTGTTTTAATTTTCTTCTAAAAAGCCAATCTTTCTCTCTCCTAGAACCCCACTGATGCTGGCAGTAGCATATGGACACATTGATGCTGTCTCATTGTTACTTGAAAAGGAAGCAAATGTAGATGCTGTTGACATCATGGGATGCACAGCTTTGCACAGAGGGGTACGTACATCTTCCTCAGCCGCAGTCAAGCCATCGTGTAATGAGCATGCTTCCTCTTTACTTCCCATATGAGTTTTTAGTGAAAAGGTTGTTTCCTAGGATAACCAATGAACCTCAGTTGGCCTAAAAGAAATTACAAAATCTTTTGCAAAAGTAAAATAGTGGCGGGTACTCTGAGGTCCTGCTCTTGCGATTTCATGGTTGATTGTGATAACAGAACCATGAACTCCTACTGTTGGTAGAATTCCTTCTACTTTCAGATGACAAAATACTTGCACAGCATAGAAAATTTGCCAAGTATTTTTCAAAGCGCAGAGAAGACAGTTACAATCACTAGTAATCCTACCTCCTGGAGATAACCATTTTTTTTGGTTTATATACCAAATCTTCTTTTCTGTATATAGATTTATTTTTTAAAATAGTGAAAAGGTTGTTTCCTAGGATAACCAATGAACCTCAGTTGGCCTAAAAGAAATTACAAAATCTTTTGCAAAAGTAAAATAGTGGCGGGTACTCTGAGGTCCTGCTCTTGCAATTTTATGGTCGATTGTGATAACAGAACCATGAACTCCTACTGTTGGTAGAATTGCTTCTACTTTCAGATGACAAAATACTTGCACAGCATAGAAAATTTGCCAAGTATTTTTTCAAAGCACAGAGAAGACAGTTACAATCACTAGTAATTCTCCCTCCTGGAGATAACCATTTTTTTGGTTTATATACCAAATCTTCTTTACTGTATATAGATTTATTTTTTAAAAAAATATATCTTACTGATTTTTTACAGAGAGGAAGGGAGAGGGATAGGGAGTTAGAAACATCGATGAGAAAACATCCATAGCATAGAAAATTTGCCAAGTATTTTTCAAAGCGCAGAGAAGACAGTTACAATCACTAGTAATCCTACCTCCTGGAGATAACCATTTTTTTTGGTTTATATACCAAATCTTCTTTTCTGTATATAGATTTATTTTTTAAAAAAAAAAATTTAAAAAGAGAATACTGAAGATACTATTTGGAACCTACTTTTTTTCTTTTAGAATATCAAGGACCTTTTCCATGTCAGTAAATATTTTCCTGCTCTATCATTTTTAATGGTCCATTGTATGCAGGTGCCATAATTTATTCCAGTGATTGCTTAGTGTTGAGTAGCCATGCTATGTCTGACTGTTGACCCATTCCCTGCCTGAAGTATGTATCCTGTGACAGTTCCTTGTATACATCTGCTGAGTTGTTTTTTAAAGCATGCCAAGGAAACGAAATCAAACAGAAGCAGAAATAAAAGTGCTCTTTGGGCTGATGCCAACCACCATGGTCAGTGAACAGGAGAGGAACTCTCAGTGGTCAAAGTGATCATCCTCGTTCTTATTTCTTGGGGACTTCCTGTGGGCCATGCAACAGGCTGGGGCCTTTACGTACCTTATCTCGTCAGTCCTCACAACAACCTGTGGGGTCCTTATTACTATCCCGAGGTACAGGTAAATGAAATGAGACAGAGAGGTGAATTGACTTGTCCAAGCTTTACCAGGGGAAGCCAGGATTTAGCTCACACCTTCCTGATTCTAACGCTCATGTGTTCCACTATATCGTAGTACCTTTCATGGTTATGTCTGGAGAGTCGAGATGTTTCCCACATGCTGATGTCCGCACGGACTTTGTTGCTATGAATCTGGCTGGGTAGTCCTCCCGTGAGGCCCGGGCATGCATGTCCTCTGACTCTGAGCCCAGCCTCACTCAGCCGCCTGCTTCACATCCTGAGCCGGCTGCCCTTCTGACTTTTGTTTTGTGTTTTCAATGCAATCGATTAGATCATGTCGGGTCATGAGGAATGTGTGCAGATGCTGCTGGAGGAAGAAGTCTCAATTCTCTGCAAAGATGCCAGAGGGAGGACCCCCTTGCACTACGCCGCAGCCCGCGGCCACGCCACATGGCTGAGCGAGCTGCTGCAGATGGCCCTGTCGGAGGAAGACTGCTGTTTCAAGGACAACCAGGGCTACACGCCGCTGCACTGGGCTTGCTACAATGGTGAGCGGACTGCCGTGCGACTGAGTCCAATGGGTTCCCTCTGAACCCGGCACCACTGGGATCTCGGGAGGGAAAGCAGCACAACGCTGTCAACCTTGATTGCCAATCTTTCTGCATCTGAGACACCTTTTTTCTGTTGTTGTTGTTTTTTTTTAAATATGTTGCCCTTCCTGGCTACTATGATGCCTCAATGGAATAAAAATTCACGTTCTCCCTTTTTGCTAATTAATAACATAAAACTCCTAATCAGGACTTCTAATGAATGAATAACCAGTTTTAATGAAGGTTTCTGATGCTACATGATATAACCAGGGACCCTACAATGAATTAAAATAACACAGCTAACACCTGTTACAGTTGACTACCAGTCAGACTTCTAGATGATTGATTTGTCTTTGGGCATTTCCTCTTTTATATCTCATTTCCCCCATTTATTTTGTCACACTTATAATTCAGAAGATCTAACATTTCTTATTTCACTTATTTGAGTAAAAAAGAAATGCAAGCTCATCATAAATTTCAAAAATATTGACATGTCTAAGGTAGAATTAAGTCTCCATTTCCAAACTTGCTTTCTGATGTAATTTGGTGTGTACCTTTAATACTTTCCCCTTGAGGATATAAATACAAATGTATGTGCATTTGTTTTTTTTAAACTAGAATCATAGAACAACTATCATTTGTCAAATCTTAAAGTGAACGAGTGAGACACGTGATGCTGGGTTGATGTTGTTGCGTTCACTGTGACGTTCGCTGCGCCAACTAGCGGTGGGGTATCTGAAGCTGGCTCGTAACCCGAATTTTAGCTCGCAACACAAAGCAAAAAATCGGCCGAGAGACGGCTCGTATCTTGAAAAACTCGTTAGTCGGGACACTCGTAAGTCAAGGCCCCACTGTAAATACAAATGTATGTGCATCTGTTTTTTTAAACTAGAATCATAGAACAACTATCATTCTATAACTTTCTTTTTTGCTATTGTTTATTTAACATGGTGGGGCACAGGTATAATGGCCACCTGAACAAGAAGATGTCTGCAGACGAAAAACGATGTAGGCAACTCCATAGACTGTAACAGAAAGGATTACAGGATCATTTCCTTACAGGGAGGTAGGGTCAGAGCGGACAGACAACCCAGCACTCTGCACAGATGATTCTCTGCTAAGAGACCCCTGTTACAGTACTTTTTTATGGTATAACTCAGGTACTAATGATTGACAAGACAAAGGGACAAAGAACGCAGTCAATGAGTGCGGTAGTGCCCAGCTGGTGTGGCTCAGTGAACCAGGAGGTCACTGGTTCGATTCTTGGTCAGTGCACATGCTCTGGTTGCAGGCTCAAACCCTTGTGGAGGACGTGCAGGAGGCAGCTAATAAATGCTTTTCTCTCACCGATGTATCTATCTCTCTATCCCTCTCCCTTCCTCTCTCTAAATTCAACAAAAACATTTTTTTTAAAAAGAATGCAGTGGCACCAGGGGCCATACCTCCTGGTGGTCTTTCGACAGAAGATGGTTCATAATGGATCCTATCACCAGGTTAATATTTATTCTGGTTGCCATGGCATTCTGGCGGTTACTAACAAAAACATTTATGGTAGGTTTTATGGAACACTGATAATCATCAACTGCAAGGCTCTGATAGGCTTGCTCAGTGAGGCTGATCGAAGGTCACAGCAGAAGAGAAACCCGGGACCCAGAGGTGGAGTCAGTTTTGTCCGCATCTACTTCTATACACATTCTATCGCAGATATCCTGCAAGTTATTGTGTATCGATAATGATTGATCTCCTTAGTATATTGCATAGCAGATAAATCAATATAGATATGTGTGTATCACAATTTATTATTTATTCAACCGGGTCCCTGGGGATGGACATTCGGATTGTTTTCAGGTTTTTTCCTGTTAAAATGAGGCTTCAGTGTGTGTCTGTTCATAGTATGTACCTTAATTCTGTCCGATAAGTTTCCAGAAGGGAAACTATTGATGAGGAAAAGTGTGTTTTTTAACTTTAATAAATTACACCATGTTACTTTGCAAGAAGGGTGTAATTTATTACTCCCCCAAACGTGTATAAGACCTATATTTCCTCCAAGCTTTTGCCAGCCCAGGAAGATAGCATCTTTTTCCTTTTTTGTGAGTTTGAAGGGCAGAAAAGGTTATCTCATTACTTTGGTTTGTGTTTCTCTGTCTAACAGTGTATGCAGAAAAGGTTATCTCATTACTTTGGTTTGTGTTTCCCTGTCTAACAGTGTATTTACTTATTTATTGGTATTTCGTCTTCTGGAAATGACCTTTTCCATCTATTGCTTATTTTTAATGAGTTTTATCTTTCCTCATGCGTTTGCTGGAGTGCCTTGTCGTAGAGATAGGAATCCTCCCTGCATGTGCTATGTGATGCCAGTGTTTTCTCTCCGTCTGTCATTTGTCTCTGGTCTTTGTTTATGATGTCATTTTCCATACAGAAATTTTGAACGTTTGTGTAGTTGAGTCCGTCATATTTTTGTTTGCTGGGATCTAGGTTTCCAGTCCTGCTTAAGGTCTCCCACCTGTAAGTTTATATGGATATTTTCCCATATATTTTCTACTCTGTTTCTATAATTTTATTTTTCCATTTGCAATTCTTATATTAAAATTTTCACCTAGATGGTTTGGCTCGGTGGATAGATAATTGGCCTGCAGACTGAAGGGTCCCATGGTCAAGGGCACATGCCTAGGTTGGGGGGGGCTTGATCCCCAGTAGGGGGCGTGCAGGAGGCAGCCGATCAGTAGTTCTCTCTCATCATTGATGTTTCTATCTCTCTCTCCCACTCCCTTCCAGTCTGAAATAAATAAAAATATATTTTAAAAATATTTTCACTCAGAAACTATGGGGTGCTCTAATTTACAACATTTCATTTTCATTACAGTCCTCTTTCGTCATTGGCTCTGACCAGGAAGAGCCAATTTTTCTACTTTCTCAACTTGGCTGGTCCCTCCCTGCTACTGGAGGATTGTGATTCTTTACTTACCAGTGGCTGAGGGCCCCCTAAGCCCCATCTGGGTCAAACCCGGAGATCTCTCTGGCAGGAAGGGGAATGCGCAGTCAGAGTGTTGGCCTAATGGCAGGTGGCAAACTCACCGACCACATCCTCTCCCCCGAGATGAGGGAAAGGGGGGTGGCAGGTCTCTGTTCTGAGGCCTCTCCAGGTGCAAGCAGGGGAGGGGAGTAGTCCCCCCCTAAGCAGTTCCAGTGCAGTCTCTCTCCGGGTCTGAGGGTCAAGCTCCCATCTTCCCAGAATCCCCTTCACCGAGCACTGTGAAATACCGAAAGTCACTCAAGGATGCCCAGTCCTGTCTACACAGACCCTTAGGTTGGGGTTCATAGAGTCCCAAAGAGTGGTGTGTGTAGACGCTTCCCTAAGTAGATCCTGTGGGGGATTCATACTAATAGAGGGTGTGAAGTGTTTAAGGGAGGGTTGGCTATAGGTGGAAAGCTAAACAGTGTAACTTACCTAAAGTTAGGGGATTTTTATATTCATTACTTTGTATGTTTTTAACCCTCCTTCAAGCAGTGTCCCTTTTTCTCTTTATAGGTAAAAGAAAGGTTGGGTTGTGTTTTAATACTTAAAATTGTCTGATCTTCGTCATTCTGAGGTAGATCATGAGAGAGCTGAGAATTCAGCCCTGAGTTCAGCCAACAGGAGGTTCCAGGACAACAATCTGTATTCCAAAGCCAAATAGTTTGGCATTAATAGCTGTCCATCCCTTCACAGACCGCATTCAGGGCCTTTATCCATAAGCTTCCATCATCCTGTGACATCGGTAGGGCAAGTTTCCTCGTCTGATTTCTTATCTATGAGAAATTGAGGCTCACAGATCCCAAGAGAGTTGCTTTGGATCACGTGACAAGGAAGCCAACAGAGCTGAGGCCTTAACTTAAATTCAGTTGATTTGGAAACTACTTGTCATTTTGTTGAAAATAATTCCTCACATTCATTCCTCTACTTATTTTTTAAAAATACTTATTGGGTACACATTGTTTGCCAGGAGCTGGTCTTGCTGCCATTTTAAACACTTATACAGTATTTTACACTCAGCATTTTACCCTTTCATCTGCTATTTTCTATCAATCACATCTTCTCCCCTTCACTAGGGTCCATAATTATAAGTGAATCTACTCACATGGGTGAAGGGGAAATTTCCTGTTGTAAATATGGGCAAACTGAGATGTGTTAGATGTCTACCTATCAAGAGCTGAGCATAACATAGAATCGATTCTGCTTGCAAATGAGGTCCCTTCTCCATCTCGTTCTCTCCATCAGACCATATGGCTTTCATTGTCTTATTTGTTCATTATGTCTCAGAACTCCTGTGAGCATAGTCAATAACATGTTGGCATTTTGTGAATTTCATTCCGTGGAGGTTGAGCATTCAGCCAATTCAGGAAAATGCATAAGCCAGAATTCAGTTCTTAATAACAAAAACAAATTGTGCTGAACAAAATTTCTCTCTTGGAAACTTCCTAAATTCTTTTGCTTCCTTGCAGGTAATGAAAACTGTATAGAGGTACTTTTGGAGCAGAAATGTTTTCGCGAATTTATCGGCAATCCCTTTACTCCACTGCACTGTGCGATGTAAGTAGAGATGCCAGAAGTCAATGGTGCTTCTTTAATTCCTTCAACGACACGTAGAAAAATTGCCCTTTAGGAAAGGAAAAAGCTTTCACGTTACAGATAAGACCAATGTATTCCATTTTGCTGCTAAAGGCAAATAGGTCTGAGAGCGAAGTGTAGTCCCTAATGTTAAAGATTTCCAGGAGATTTCTATGAAAGGCCATGGCTCCAAGGTGGCTCAAATGCCACGTTAGAGAAACTGCATGAAGAGGTGGCCTGAGGGGCACCTGACACCCCATACTCTTCAGGTATACTTCACACCTGTCAGCCAAATTCTAAAAATATGCCTGCGAATGATTAGAAAGACATTTTCTACCAGGAAGACTTTTCATGTATTGTAATTCCCTTTCTTTGTATGTTGTAAGGTTTTTTATATGTAGTTTTTGCTCCAATCTCAATGTGTGAACCATTGTCCAGAGAGTACAGGGACTGTAAGTCAGACTTCCATGTCAGCCTGCTGGGGTCATGGGCACCCAGGTGGACACTTTCTTGAGGTTGGTGGGTGATCTAGTGCCGATCCAGCCTGCTCCCTGACCAGCTGGCCCTGGCACAGGTGATGTGAGTGGCCAGCGCTCTCTAACAGCTTTGAAGCACTCCACCCTTGCCCTCCAGTTTTTCAGCTTTGGCTTCCACGATTCCATGAACAATAGGCCTATTATTTCTCTCACAAGGTTGTTTTTGTTTTGTTTTGTTTTGTTTTTATAGTGGCAGACACCCTAAAGGCTTTACTATTATTATTTTAAATCTTTATTGTTGAAGTATTACATATGTCCCCCTCCTTCCACCATTGACCTCTTCTAGCCCACTCTCCACTCCCCACCCCCACCCCAGGCCTTCACCACCCTATTGTCTGTGACCATGGGTTATGCATACATGCAGACAAGGTCTTTGGTTGATCTCTTCCCACCTCCCACCCTCCCCCGCCTTCCTTCTGAGATTCCACAATCTAAGCTTCTATGCTTCTATGTCTCTGGACCTATTTTGTTCAAGTTGTGCCCACTTAGATTCTGAGGTGCCGTTGCTCACAATTTCTTGTCTTAATTGATTTCTCGGAGTCCTTGTTAGTGTGTTAGCAGCTGTCCCTGGCTGTGGACTCTTAGTATAACTGTCCCGGGACCTTTCCAGGAACCTTAATAAACCTCTTTCCTTTAAAAATTTGGATATAATTTGTTTGGATCTGTGAGAGAGTGGAGCTCAAATCCCAGAGTGACTAACCCACGGCTCCCAGTGAACTCGGAGTAAAGAGGGTGCCCTCCTGAGCTTCTCCTCCCAAGACCTTCGGCTTCAGATCCTACCCTCCTCACCACAGCTGTTCAGACAAGCAAAGGAGGCCACTTAGGTCAGATAAACAGGCTTCAACCCTTCTTGGAGCAGGTGATTCTCCAAAATCTTCAGAGTGGAGACTGCCCGCTTCAGGAAGTGTTAAATAAAGTTCGTTTATATCACCCTAAATTGTCTTCTTTAAACTTTTTACCAGAACATAGGCCACAGATATTTGCATCAGACTTAAAAAACAACCACCATTAGATTGTTAAGTATACAGTGCCTGGGAAGATGGACTAGGAGGGGATATATAACTTTTTAAGTGGTGAGATTTTTAATGCTACTTTTGTTTTAGAATAAATGCCCATGAGAATTGTGCGTCACTGCTGCTGGGGGCCATAGATTCCAGCATTGTCAATTGCAGGGACGACAAGGGCAGGTGAGTGACCCCGGATAGCATGCCTCTCCTCCCCACGAATCCCAGTCTCTGCTCTGTGGTTGCAGAGGGGCCAAACATCTTTTATTTGGTTTTTAAGTTGAAAAGTAGTATGTAAGCATGTTTTTTAATTAAGTATTGTAAAGGATATATAATTAACACAAGTTTTCCTCCTCGGCCCAGCAGCCCCAGCCTCTTCCACGGAGGAAGCCACTAGAAACTGTCCTTTCCAAATGTGTATATTCCCTCACATATTGTCTGTGCACAGCTACAAACATCTGTAAAATATATGTGCTTATATCCCTTATGTGCAAATGGAGCGCTCTATAGCAATGCTCTGCTTTTAGTACATCTTGGAGATCTTCCCAAATACTAAAACCCTTAGATTTACCATATTCTTTTTAAGGCTGAATATTATTCATCTGAATGGATATATTATAACTTAATCAGCCTGCCCGCTATGGAAGACTATTTAGGTTGTTTCCAGTACTTTGCTATTTCAAAGGGTGGTGCAGTTCATATGTGCCTGGTCCTATGACCCAAGTGTATCTAGGAGATAAAATCCTAGAAGTGGTTAAAAGGCCAGTAGTTTTTAAATTTGACAAGTAATGCCAGGTTGTCCTCCCCCAAAAATCAGTCATTCACATTAGATGACGTGGGCTTTTTAGAAAAATAGCCAGTGATCTACAAATTTAAGGTGTAATTTTGAAAGTATCTTTATCCAAGGAGAGAGAAAAGCCACTGGGACTCAAGATTAAAGCGGTCAACAAAGATGCTAATTTCATGATCAGGGCCACCAGCTCACCCCCCTCCCCTCCCTGCATTGGTGACCCTGCCGAGGGGCCTGGTGGTCATCTCCGTGAACCTGCCGTGTTTCTCTGGCGTGCACGGAGAGCAGGTGTGAGGTTCCCAGGAAGCTAACGCCGCTTGTTCCGTCGCCAGGACGCCGCTGCACGCCGCAGCCTTTGCTGACCACGTGGAGTGCCTGCAGCTCCTGCTGAGACACAGCGCCCAGGTGAACGCGGCCGACGACACGGGCAAGACGGCGCTGATGATGGCCGCGGAGAACGGGCAGGCGGGCGCCGTGGGTACGTGCCCGAGGGGGGACTGCCCATCCGTGCCTGTCCAAAACCAAAGGCATGGGCAAGCAAGAAAGCCGTTAGTCTCTTGCTATATACCCATAAAAAGACCGACATTTTACCTAAGCCACCGGCTCCACTTGCTCATTGTCCGCAGTCCCGTTACTGGCTGGTCGGTGGGCCTGATCCAAGTGAGCCAACCTCTCAGCAGGGAAATCTCTTGACGTTGAGAAACCAGATGTAACACAGAATCTTTGTACCTGGGAACAAAACTGTCAAACAATGGACGCCTATAGGCCTTGGATTTGGCTAGAACACACGTGGCCATAAGTGGCTCCTTTTTATCTTAAACACATGAAATAGGATAATGTGAGCTGCACTGATTTAGATCTGTTATTGTTTCTGTAGTAACTCCTTTAAAGTGCATGTAATTGGCATGTAGTCTGAGTAGCTTTCTTTTGTTTGTTTTTTTATAGACATTCTGGTGAACAGCGCGCAGGCTGACCTGTCTGTGAAGGACAAGGACTTGAACACACCCTTGCATTTGGCGTGTAGTAAAGTATGTAAGGGAATATGACACACTGTTTTCAGTATAATAATAATAGTAATAATGATGATGATGATAAATACCACTTAATTCTACCTCAAAAATGCGTATCATGGCCCCTAATTAAGAGGTCCATCTCCCCAGGATGTTGGCCCCTCTAAGCAGAGTTGGAGGAGGAAAAGCAAGCGCGTACCACACGGCTGGACGGGATGTGCTTTGCGTGGCATTGGCCACTTGCATGCTGGCTGCAGTGTGGCTTGATGCTGCCACTGTGTCTGTGGTACCACCTTTTGGTTATAAACACACATTAGGACCTCAGATACATGGCTTCTAGAATATGAGCCTCTCCACTTGTTCTCATTTTGTTTCGTTGGAAGGCCTTGTAATAACACAGCCCAAAAATGCTCTCCTGTGAGGCAAGTCAGTGTGTTCGCGTGCAGGTCTACCCTCTCCCTTTTTTCTGGTGCATAGTCCAATGCAAAGAACGCATTTGTGTGTGTGGTGTTTTTTTGTTTGTTTATGTTTTTTTTTAAATAGCATTGTGTTCACTACTTCAGCAAAAGATAAATGGCACATAGGAATGTGATTTCACAGAAGCGGGATCATACTGCTTACAACCTGCTTTTGTTCCTGGGTCACATGTTATGAATAGCTTTCTTGTGTAGACATTTCATAATGTTTTCGAAGATGCATGGTACTCTCTCTACCTTAGGAATGTGCCACCCTTTACGCAGCCTACCCCCTCCCATTAGACATTTGCTTGTTTTCAAATACAAGCTACTCTACATAATAATAACTGTGGTGCAATGTTTTAGGAAGCCTTGTTCCTTTAAACTAAATGTCTAAATGTGAAATTATTGAGCCTGGGCTATGAAGATTTTAAAGTCCAAATTCCCCTAAAATGAAGTCTTAACTATTTACACTCCACCAGTAGTATATCAGAATGAAACCTCCGTGGATATTTCTAAAGTTATATTTAAGGGTCTCCTTTCTAAGGCATTGTGGTATGATGGCAGCTGACACCAGTGATGGTGTTTATTTCAGTACTAGAGGTCCGGTGCACGGAAATCATGCACTGGGGGGTGGAGAGTGTCCCTCAGCCAGGCCTGTGACCTCTCGCAGTCCAGGAACCTTTGGGGGATGTCCGCCTGCCGGCTTAGGCCCATTCCCCGCTGGGGATCGGGCCTAAGCCGGAAGTCAGACATCCCTCTCGCTGTTTGGGGCTCTCAGAGTGTGGGACCCTTCACTTCTTACTGCCCGCCTGCAGCGGAGGCGGGAGAGGCTCCTGCCACCACTGCTGCACTCGCCAGAACCTGAGCCCAGCTTCTGGCTGAGCAGGCTCCCCCTGTGGGAGCACACTGACCACCAGGGGGCAGCTCCTGTGTTGAGCGTCTACCCCCTGGTGGTCAGTGCGCATCATAGCAACCGGTCGTTCGGCCATTCGGTCGGTTTACATTATTAGGGTTTTATTATATAGGATAGTTCCAGCATTAAAGGTGTTATCTGTATCCAGCGGCACCAGCAGTCTCAGCTGTTCCTCTCATCAGTTGCGTTTTCTCACTTCATGTTCAGGGTGTCCCAGGGAAACCACAAAAGGTGCTCCATTTCATCAAGTGTGTTTCAAGGTGTAGTTTTCATGACTATAAATGCAATGCTTTTCAAACGTTATTGTGCCATTGAATCACCTGAGGATATTGTTAAAATTCAGCTTCTGATTTAGGAGGGCGGGAGTGGGGCCTGAGATTCCACGTCGCTAAGTGCCAGGTGATGCTGATGTTGATGCTTCGGGTCACAGGGGCTCAGGAAGCCAGTACCTTCACGGAGCGCAGGCCTGAAACCGTGAAAGCGCCTCTGACGGATCCATTAAAATTACCGACTGTCTGTTGTCATAAGGCGCAGAGATCATTTCCCCTGGCTGAGGAGGAGATAAATAGGCTTTCTTGAAAAAGAATCCTTTCACAATATAAGGCAGTAACTGATGAGTGACACATAATAGGCGACATGCGAACTTCAAGGATAAATGGATCAAGGAAGTGGTCAATCATGAAGACTTGAGGAAGGAGACGGGACTTGACTTACATTTAAAAAGTGATGTTGAAGGATACTTCTAATTCTCCTCCCTGTTTACCAGCTGACCCGGCTGAATTCGTATAGGTTTCAGCTCCCTGGACATTAGTTCTAAAACTTATCCTAGAAATGTTAGTATTTCAGATCAGATTTATATTAACCAAGTCCTAATGGGACCTCATTTGGAATCTTGGAGAATCTAGGGCCCTGGGACTATTTGCTTTTTAGAAGAAAAAGGAATTACTCAGATGATGGCCTTTTAACATGTATACAGGCAGAGGACATTCGTTTCACATTGAAAGCCCAATGAAGTGATTGTTCTGGAACTTTTCTAAGTCTCCATCCTGAGTTTCTGATCATTTTCTTTTTCTTCCCTAGGGTCATGAAAAATGTGCCTTGTTAATACTTGACAAGATACAAGACGAGAGCCTTATTAATGCCAAAAACAATGCACTGCAGACGTAAGTGTGATGGCTAGAGCTGGACTCAAACCCAAATTCCTAGTCATTTATTCAACACATGTGAAGAGCTAGCTCTGTGCCAGGCTGGAGCTGGGACACAGTAGTGAAAGCACAGACCCGCCTCTCCTTCGTGAAGTTTAGTCACACACCTGCAGCTCAGACCCAGCTAGGCAGTTTCCGTTAGAACCTGCATTTTGATATGCCGGCATAGAAACGTGTGAGGTCTGTGTTTTTCTTTGCTGATATTCCTATGGTAATATTATAAATTTACTGGGTGATTAGAAAAACGTATGGGCTGACCTATTTGGGAAATATTTGTATACTGGTAAAATGTATTAGCATTATGTGTTCTTCCTAGAAAATGGCAGTTTTATAAATCAGGTTCCCAGAATATATTTGAAGAGTTTCTAAGCCATTTGTCTTAATTACATTTTAATGTGATTCAGTGTTATCCTCAGTGTGAAAAACTTAAGAGCTGCTTCAGCTTTAGCCATGTGGCTCAGCTGGTTAGAGCATCATCTCATACACCAAAAGGTTGTGGGTTCGATTTCCAGTCAGGGCACATACCTAGGTTGCAGGTTCGATCCCCGGTTGGGGTGCATACAGAAGGCAACCAGTTGATGTTTCTTTCTATCTCTCTTCTTCTTTGTAAAATCAATTAAAAGATAAGCATATCCTCAGGTGAGGACTAAACATAATAAATACATAAGTAAGTAAGTAAGTAAATAAATAAAAGCTGTTTTATTTTCTACTTTAGGAAATTATGTATTTGTTTTAAAGGGCAAAGAATATTAGCATTTTTTCATTAAAATTCTTAAGGAATAGATAGCAGAATATACTAACTTTGACATTTGTTCTTTAAGATGTTCTAAATTCAGTAAAATATCACTTAGTAATAACAAAGAGGTTTGAGATTATATATATGAGTGATATTAGACAGTCATATTGATGAACTGGGTGAAACAGTGATTCCAATGCAAGCGTACAGCTCAAGGGTTAAAGAACCTTCTAGAAAATGCACCAGAGCTTAAGTTCTTCTGTCTTCCTATTTACTGTCATTGAGGTTGTTTGAGGTGCAGAGTATTTGTGATATCTGCAGAGAAATCTGGGCCAACTTGGAAGAACTGTTGGGTCATTAGCACCTGGAAAAGATCTGGTCAGCAAATCTCTTTTCCCGCCCCCCAGTAAAAATGTTCAGATGCTATGTATGGATTCTTACCTACTTGCTGCCTCTTAACAACGCAGGCTGCCCAAATGGCACATCTCACACAAACGCGTATCCCGCCTGACGCCCTGTGTTCTTTCTCAGGCCCCTGCACGTCGCTGCGCGCAATGGCCTGAAGGCCGTGGTGGAGGAGCTGCTGGCCAAAGGGGCCTGCGTCCTCGCTGTCGATGAGAACGGTGAGTGGGAAAAGGACACGATCACAGCAGGTGCCTTCCCTGTGCTGGGGAGCCAGAGGACAGGAGGGATGTAGGAGCTAGTTAAAGAGGCAGTAGGAACCCTCTCCCTCCGGAGCCCCCCGTGTGTGAGAAATCAACAAGGATGCTGTGTCCTGTCTGTCTTCGTTAAAGTGCAGTCTCCCTGTAGCCACCACTGCCTCCCATTCTGCATGTGACGTCAGCAGCGAGGGTCGCTGACTCCTCAGCGTGGCGGTTAAAATGCCCGAGACACACGGACGAGCTTGCACCTTGGCATTCGCCGTGCTGACCGCACACCCTGAAGAGTGAGGGATTCCCCATCATCCGTGCATGCTCAAGGGCTCGCGCCAAAACCAGGTCTCTGTGTTCCAGTCCATTCTGAGATCAAACCTTTTTCTTTTCTTTTTGAGAACAGACCAGAACGCATATTCCCAGGATGGCTATTTGGGGAATGTGAATAAGAATTTTAAATTCATGTCTAGGCTTGACACTTCTCTTGATCTAGATAACGTCCCTTTTCTGAATGAACTAACTCTTAACAGCAGCTTTCTCCTCTGCTTCCTACGAAATTGTGAACCCCAGGATTGTATTAGATGCCATTCGAAGCACAATGCCTATTAGCCTTGGGGAGCAGGCGCGGGACTTCTGGATATTTACTAATTAAGTAAATTTTTCAAAATGTGGCATGAATCGTGGCATTTAATTAACGTCGTATAATAAAATGCATTAACGTAACTCAATTAACTGCTTATTACAGGTATTGGAATTAGCAGCTCATGCCCATTGCTCAGAAGTAAGCAGCCCTTTGGCGTCATTAGCTATAACTCCTGTTAGTTTGGTTTTGCGGCCCCATTTCCCCTAGCATGTTCCCTGCCCCGTCCCTGGCCCGATTCATCTAGGAGATGCAGAAAGTTCGCTGTTACTCCATCCGTCTGGTTTTCCTGCCTCCCCTTCCCTCACCCTCTACTCACCATTGTAGACTTTGGGGCTGGCGTGCAGAGGCCTACGGCTTTTCTCATTAATGACCAGAGACCAGAACACACAGTTTTCGCTTCTCTGGTGTAAGTCTGCTACACCCGAGGCTCATCCAGCCCTTACTGACCTTGGGCCAGTGGGACTGTGGCTTGTCTCGGAGCTTAGCTGCATCCCAAAGACCTCGGAACATCTGGGGCACGTTAGTACAGCCCCACAATCCTATTCCTTGACTCATCACAGACCTTCGTGGCAGAGGACGTTAATATATCCGTCCATTCTTGTTTGTTTTCACACCAGAGAAGGAATAATCTGTTAAGAGGGGCGAGGAGGGGGAAGCAGAAATGAGGTCAAGCGCTGATAAACAAAACAACAAAAAGTTCGGTTTTATTGAGCCGGTTCCTCTGGAGTAAATGAGCGAGTAGTGGCAACTCCAGCCAGCAGAGAGGACAGGGTGGCCTGGAACCAAAGCGGACTAAGGCAGCCATAATGACATCCACGAGTATCTATTTCCCTGCGCACCTGTTTCGTGCTCTGAGCTCACTCTCCCTTCCGGACAGCAGCCATCCAGCCTAAATGGTAGAGCAGGGCACGACTATGCCAACCATCGCGATTTCCCCACCTCGGCTGCCTTTAGGTTGGCAATGTTGCTATTTTTTAAAATTCTGTTAAGTTCTGTGTGTTGTTTTTTTAAATGATGGTACATGTTCAACGACAAATGACCAGTGCCTGCCTGTTTCTGAGCTCCTCACATGATTCCGTTTTTCTAGAGCCAGTTAATTGTAGAATCTGACACACAACCACCTACAATGGAAAGCCATTGTTCTCAGAATGAGCGTGCTCCGGCCCCGGCCGAGGCCCACGGTGTGAGTGTGTGTGCTCGCCAGTGGGAGCCCCTTCCTGGCTGTCCCGTGGCTGTTTTTTTGTGGAATTGTGTCCCCCGCCACTCCCCCCCCTCGTGTTTCCATTCACTAGACAAAGACTGGAATTCTGCCTAATGTTGGATAATATAGTGCTTGTCGTTGTCATGTAAGCTGAAAAGGATCCCCCAACCCTCCCGAGAATGCCTCCCCTCCAGGCCCCTCCCACCTCACCCCTAGCATGCCCAGTGAGAAGTAACTCCTCCCTTTGCCTGCATGATTGCTAACTCAACATACATCTCCGTGGGAGGTCGGATGAGATGTACTGTGGATGCTCGGACTAACCACTGCCTTGTCTGCATTTACGCCCAGGTCATACCCCGGCCCTGGCTTGCGCTCCTAACAAAGACGTGGCTGACTGCCTGGCCCTCATTTTGGCTACCATGATGCCTTTTTCTCCTTCCAGTACAATGACGGCTGTCAACCTGGTTTGTTTTAAAAAAGACAATTTGAACAGGACGACCCTCTCCAACCTGGGTAGCATGGTTAGCCTGTGCAGTAACAACGTAGGCTCGGAGGATGGGTACAATGAGAACGATTCTGATTCGGAAACCTTTTGACCTTGGACTGTAGGCGTTTTCCCTTGATCGACCCTGTTGGAGGAAGGGGAAGAAGCTCGGATTCCAGGTTTAGGTCGTGTTCCAGTGTTATTGTGGGCCCGAGCTACCAGAAGCCGGTAGAGAAGGGATTCATTCATCAAACTGAGGGAGGGCAGCTAGGCCGGAGGACCAAGCACTCACACGGACGGGCCCTGCTTTTGATCTGTCTCATGCTTTCCTTAGCTCTAAGAGACTTCTGTGAAAGTCTACCTCTCATTTTAAAGAAGGAATAAAAAAAATGCATTGAATTCTTTTTCTTTGGGGATAATGCACTGAGAGGGAACTGTTGTCCCCTATAAAGTGTGGTGTGTGTTTTTTTATTTGTTTTGTTCACATGCTCACTTGGCAGTGAGTTGTCAGAGTGTATCATGCATGTCCCCAGGGGGAAGGGGAGGCAGGGGCGGATAGAAAAAGCCTCCAGCCTCCTCTCCCTTTGCTGTTTACGTCCTCACTAGAACCCAAAGGTAAACGTGTTTCTCTCTGGAAATCATGCCTGTAGTCACCTTTCTAAGGGAGACCGATGATCCGTGTCCTCCCTAGAGTGAGCCCTTCAATAGCCAGGACTTCTTCCCGAGGCTATTTGTTGAAGTTGCCAAATGGAGGAGAAAAACTCATTGAAAACAGGACTTGCCTGTTTTTCCTTTAACACAAACACGGCGCCCACTGCTCCCCATAACAAGCCTGTGGCTTATGTCCACCCGAGCGATGGCATCCAGGGCTGCCTGTTACCCTGCCGGGGAAAGGCAGATTGCACCCGCACCTGGAGGCCCATGCAGGCTTGCTATGGAACTGCCCTTACTGATTCATCCTTAGACAGAACAGTAACTTCTAAAGGACATCAGGCCTTGCTCATCGATAGTAAACTATTCCAGGAGCTTCTCAGCTGAGGGCGTGCCGAGTGAAGGCCGGTGTGGCTGCAGCAGGGGACAGAGAGAGGCAGAGCAGGTGGCAGGAGTGGGGGACGTGGAGAGGAGAGCCCGTGGTAGTTGCTTGCTGATGAAATCAACCTGGTGAACCCTGTGTCTGCTCCCTCTGCCAAAGCTTCTAGGGCCAACGGACCCCGCCCCGCCCCGGGAATAGCTGTACAAAAAGAAGAATGAGACTCTTCCAGAACCATTCACACACACACGTGCACACACATGTATATAGTTCTGTCTGTGTCTCATCAACCAGCTCTACAGGAGGACCAAAATGCTTCCGTCGAGGATGGAAAACTTCACTGGTGTTTCTTCGCAGTGAAAGTGAGAACTGAAGTAGCTTTTCTATGGAGTTAAAATGGAATCTTTTTGCGTAAGAGTCTTCGTTGTATTTTATATTTCTTATGACAGAGATTTCCAGTGGATGGCTTACCATTTGTAATGGATGATGTGTTGACCATGGCTTATTTTTTTTTTGCCCGACTAGAGAAAATGTTCATAAACTTTTGATGTAAATGTGTTTATATTTATTGGAAATGAAACAGATGCCGAGGGAGCGTCCTTTGTTCGTTCTCCCTTTTCATTGCTGTGTGTCTTACTTGGAAAAACAAAAAAGCAGAAAAACACACAGGGCCCTCCCTGGGCCAACCAGCAGCCCTGGACCAGCCAGCAGCCCTGGGCCACGCCCGGCATTTCCACTGCTAAGGTCTCAGCGGATCCTCATGATCTCCCATGTGGATTGGAGAGGGCACAGCACCCATCACTCAGCCCCAGTCTGTGGCCAACCTAGAGCTTAGAAGACATTGGAGTCCTTCTGCTCTTCTGCCAGATGAACCTGAAGCGCGTTGTGGATCATATGCACAGACGTGGCCAAAAGAAAAGTCCAGAAATGATCTCAAATGCACTGAAATCCCACGTGGTCCCAGTAAACTCCTGGGAAACTGCTTCAGTGGGTGGACACTTGTGCCAAGAGAAGAAATAACAATCACCAGCTCGCGCTATTCCCAATGGGGGAAGGAAGCGTTGTGTGAGGGGAGTACTAACCATCTGATAACTGGGTCCCTTTCACCCTGGAAATGGCAGTCTCATCGTGTATGTGAGGTATTTTTACAACAGCGTTCGACCGTATCTGGATCAAATACAGGTTCTGTATTCTGTTTCTCATCTAACTGCAAGAGACTTAGTCTCGCTCTTTTAATACCCGGATTGAATGAGACGCTCACGTTGGGTTCTTCACGGAGGAGAGCTGTCCAGAGGACTTCCGACATTGTGTTTGCATTCCCCTCCTTCCTCTGTCCTTTTTGTTTGTTTAGAGAAGGTGAATTTTTTTGCAGGAGGTAAATTGCTCATGAGTAATAATGACCTCATCATTGCCAAAACCCTGAGCATGAGAGCGAGCCAATGCTGAGAAGCACGATACACCGCGGCGGCTTTTTCTAGAAGTGAATGGAAATCTTGCTCCGTTGGCGTAGAAAGCAGGCAAAGAGACGGCCGCTTCAGTGGTGGCGCAGCAATGACATTGCCCCGGGGAGCCTCACAGAGGGCAGGAGCGCTGCAGCAGGATGCAGGCCTGGGCCTTATCTCCGCGGAGCTGCTTTGGACTCCCCCTACCCCTTCCTCACAGAAAGAAGGCGGACAAAGGAGCAACATGAAGTCATGCTTACTCTGAACTGTTCATTGAATCCATCTCTCCCCCGCCCCCTTCCCCTGGCCAATTCTTTTCCTTTGAGAAATGACTTTAAAAACTCTGAGTTCTGTATCTGTCAAGTACATCTCTTAGAGATAACATTAGATTTGCAGCATAGCTTTCTAAGAAAAAAACATAACAGAAAACATTGTGCTTTTCATCGAGTCTTAGCTGGTTCGTGCTTTTTACCTACCTGTGTTCTTTTTAGACTCGATTTTAACCACAGCCACAGGGATCACGTTTCATTGCACTTCACCTGTTCGCCAGTGTCTGCCTGTCCGTGGTAAATACATTACTGTCTCCACATTGCCTAAAATCTGCTACGATTCTACAGTAAATAGCTCAGGGGATTTCTATGTATCACTACTAAAAGGGCACCATAGTATGTTTTGGTACTTTAGGCAGTACACAGCTGCTTGATTTATTATTTTGTTATTAAATTAGAGCAAGAACAGCACATGGATTCGCTGCACTAGCTATGCTTTGTACTGTTGAGCAACTCGGTTTGCTTGTCTGTTGCGTTGGTTGAAGAACTCATCCCCCTTTTTTCCCTTTTGTCTTGTACTATGAAGGTAGAGTGCCTTTTTATATCTGTATATTCTGAAAATGTTCTGTGAAATGTTTTGTATTTTTTTCACTTGAGTGTTATCAGAGCAATATAATACCAGTGAGTTTTCATTTCAGCCTTTCTTTGAATGTATAAAGTGTCTTTTTTTTTTTCCTAGTTCCCCTTTTCCCTGCTTTGAAATGGAAATGGATAAGCCGAAGTGTTCTCTAGGAGTTCTCTTTGATTTTGCAGTGCTAAAATGCTTTCTTCTTACCAAACCGTAAACCATAGGTCAGTGTTATAGGGGGAAAGCGTTTCAAGATAGTGACAATCTGAGTGTGTGTACACAATGTAATTCTACGCGTTCCTTATGCAGTGTTCTAAAAGCTCAATGCAAGTATATTTGGGTTGGTAGTGTGTCTCCATGTTTTATGCTTTAGCATGTGCAATATATCTTTGCGAAGCACGATGATACAAATCTGGTGCCAGTGTTCTATTTTGCCTAATATATTTGTAACAGCATAAAATATTGTTTGATGATTTCAGTGGGATTTTGTCTGTAATGTTTTCTTATGTAAATTGAGGTTGAATGACTCTGGTAAATGCCATGATTGTAAAAATGAGGAAAATGACTGAGTTCAGTGAATGACTTTGAACCAATCTGAATCTTCTCAAGCACAGTTTAATACTTTTTCAACTACTGAATGCTAATAATGTAATGACGTACTTAACTGTAATATACTATGGACATGCATTCAGATGGTTATTTTTACAAATAAAGACGGTACAAATATTGTTGCGATTTCTGTTTTCTTTAATTTTACCAACTATTCTGATCATTTACATCTTTATCTCCCCTACCCATGCCAAATTAACATTAAATTCTTAAAAAATAAATAATCAGAGAGAAGTGTATATGCATATTTAATACTTCTGTTTATATCACCACAGTTAGAGAAAAAATTCAAATATGTATATTTGTGTTGACTATATTTATTCTTGTCATAAAAGATTTCAGCTGGCTTGTAACAAAAGACATGTGATAAACTAGAAATAGAAAAATTAAGATGGGGGAAAATGCAAACAAATATGGGAACTGTAAAGTTTAGCACAGTGGCCATGACTGAACTTGAGTTTGCTCTAGGCTTCCTCGTGTTCACGGGAAGAGGGGAAATGTGATTATCTGGTTGCATATATCAGAAAGGAGGAAGCTTAGGAGGTCCTCAAAACTGTGAATTCAACCGTTCTTGTCTTTGTTGTTGCCACCACTATCTTTCAACTGCTTCATAGCAACACAAGACCCGGCCTCTCTTAACTGTTCTTAAAGGTATAGTATAGAAAATTTTCTCTTCATCTCATCAGAATTTCTCCCCTTGAGTAGTAATTTCAGGAACAGTCGCTAGAAGCACTAACGAACAAATTCCTGATGATAGAGCTCCCAACTGATGAGAAAAAGATGTGGGGGTGGGGCCTTCCTGAGTTCCTCAAATCACAGTGTCATAGAATGTTAGCAGCTCTTACAGTTTAGCCCAATCCCATCCACTGTTTTTCATGAAAATACTGAGCCCCAGAGAGGTTATAGAATTTGTTCAAGTTTGTGTATACAAATATTCAGTAACCTGGTTTGATACCATGTGTGCCTATAGGTCTCTCTTCTGTGTCATCCTGAAAATGTTTTGTAGTTGTTTTTTTATTATTATTATTTTTCCTAGAAATGTTCTGAAAGGTTGCACTCTGCCCTGTCCTCATTCAGATATACAAATACACATGCTTTCCATTTTTTAAATTTTTTTTTATTGGGGTGACATTAGTCTACACGAACATATAGGTTACATGTGTGGATTACTCATTTACAAAATCTGTATATAGAAACATGTGCCCACCACCCAAAGGCAAATCTTCTCCTGTCACCTTATATTAAGACCCCTTTCTTCCTTCACCCCCCTCCCTCTGGCAACCACCACACTGCTGTTTGTGTTCATAAGTTTCAGTTTTATATTCCAAACTAGAGGCCCAGTGCACAAATTCATGCATGGGTGTGGTCTGGCCAGCCCGCCCCGATAGGGGCCAATCGGGGCCAGGCCAGTGCAGGAGAGGGGAACCGGGAGGTTGGCCAGTCGGCCCCGTCCCTGATTAGGCTGGTTGGCTGGCTGCAGTGGGCGTCATAGCGACCAGCCATTCCGGTTGTTCCGGGGTTCCAGTCGCTGGCTTTTTATATATATAGATATGAGTGAAATCATAGCTTAGCTTTTTCTGTTTGACTTATTTCACTTCGCATAATGTTCTCAAGGTCCCTCCATGTTGTTGTAAATAATGCTATTTCATCCTCTCTATGGCTGTGTAGACTCCTTTGTGTATATATATACCACATCTTCTTTATCCAGTCCTCTATCATAGGGCACTTTGGCTGTTTCCAACCCTTGGCCACTGTGAATGCTGCTGCAATTAACATAGGGGTGCATGTATCTTTGCATATAAATGATTTCGAGTTTTTCGGGTATATACCCAGGAGTAGGGTCATTGGGTCTTATGGTAGCTCTATTTTTAATTTTTTGAGAACTCACCAGACTGCTTTCCATAGTGATTGTACCAGTCTACATTCCCACCAGCAGTGAATGAGGGTTCTCTTATTTCCACAACCTCTCCAACACTTCTTGTTGCTTGCTTGTTGAGATTGGCCACTCTAACTAGTATAAGGTGGTATCTCATTGTAGTTTTAATTTGCATTTTCCTGATTGCCATTGAGGTTAAACATCTTTTCATATATCTATTGGCTGTTTGTATGTCTTCTTGGGAGAGGTATATTTTCAGGTCCTCTGCGCACTTTTTGATTGGATTGTTAATTTGTTTGGTGTTGAGTTTGATGAGTTCTTTATATATTTTGGAAATTAAACCTTTATCAGAGCTACTGTTTGCAAATATCATCTCCCATCTGGTTGGCTGCCTGTTTGTATTGTTGTCTGTTTCTTTTGCTGTGCAGAAGCTCTTCAGTTTGATATAGTCCTATTCTTTTATTTTTGCCTTTACCTCCCTTGCCTTTGAGGTCAAGTCCATAAAATGTTCTCTACCACCCAGGTCCATAAGTTTGGTACCTATATATTTTTTTCTATGTGACCTATAGTTTCAGGTCTTATGTTTAAGTCGTTGGTCCATTTTGAATTAATTTTTGTACATGGGGACAAACTGCAGTCTAGTTTCATTTGTTTGCATGTGGCTTTCCAGTTTTCCCAGCACCATTTATTGAAGAGGCTGTCTTTATTCCAATGTCCATTTCTGGCTCCTTTGTTGAAAATTATCTGTCCATTTACGTGTGGTTTTATAGCTGGGCTCACTATTCTGTGCCATTGACTATGTTTCTGTTTCTTTGCCAATACCATGCTCTTTTGATTCTATGAGGCCAATGTAACCCTGATACCAAAATCAGAGTTTCTCACTGACTTCAGGGATATTTTCCATTGGCTCAGAGCCTCTGCTGGACCATCCACGCACACAACAAACCCACTTCGTGCTACACTCAGGATCCTCCTCAGGATTTTCATTCCCAGCCTGCCCTGACGACCTCCAGGAGACTCCTCCATGCTTTACATTTTTGAAGATTATAAAGCATGAATCCTACCGGAGGTGAGTACTTTCTGTAGTTTAGAGCAGACTGGGGTATATTAGTTAGCTACAGCTGTGTAACAAATTGCCCCAAAACTTAGTGACTGAAAACAACTAATGTCCATTACCTCACGGTTTCAGTGAGTCAGGAGTCCAGGCTTGGCTGAGTTGGGTCTTCTGCCTCAGGGTCTCTCACAGGCTGTGGTTATGGTGTTGACCAAGGAAAGATTCATTGTGAAGCTCTCTCGTGTGGTTGCTGGCAGGATTCTTCATTGACTGTGACCAGGGTTTCAGTTCTAGTGGCTGTTGGCTGCCCCTGGTTCCTTGCTGAATGGGCCTTTCCGTAGGGAGCTCACAGCATGGCAGCTGGCTTCATGAGAGCCAGCAAGCAGAGAAGAGCCAGAGAGGGAGAAGGCAAGACAGAAGTCACAGCTTTTTTAAAAAAGACATATATTTTTATTGATTTCAGAGAGGAAGGAAGAGGGGAGAGAGAAGTAGAAACATCAATGCTGAGAGAGAATCATTGATCGGCTGCCTCCTACGTGCCCCCTACTGGGGATCGAGCCCACAACCCTGGCATGTGCCCTTGACCAGAATCAAACCTGGGATCCTTCAGTTTGCAGGCTGACACTCTGTCCAAACCAGCAAGGGCAGTCACAGTTTTTTAACTGAATCTCAGAGTGACATTCTGCCCTTTTCCCCATGTTCTGTTCATTAGAAGGCAATCACTAGGCCCACCCATGCCCAAGGAAAGGAGATTACCGACGTGTGAGGCCAGCGGGCAGGAATCACCGGGGGCCTTTCGGAAGCTGTGTACCACACTGGGTCTGTCACAGTGTCCTTCCAAAGTATACCATCGCTAGGGTGACTGCTTCCGGTCATTGTTAAGGACATTAGTTACTTGACTTCCTTTTTCCAGAAAAATGTAGGGATTCCTTAATGTCACTGTGCTCCCAAGAAGCAAGCAGGAGGGGAATGGCCTCTGCTGCAGTGACTGTGCTGATCCTTGACGCGGCACTTTGTCTCCAAACTGTTTGTCAAGGGAACCCTCTCTCTAATCCCCCAAAGTAGGTATAGTACCCTGAACATCTATCTCTCACTTAACACTGAAATGTGTTCCAGAATTAGCTTGCAAGGCACAAAGGCATTAAGCTAAAAGGCTATTAACATAACCTAAAAACACTGTGGGTAAAAGTGCTGTGTGAATTGTCTGTTAGCAAATTTCACACTGAAGGCACATTTGCTGTAAAATATAAAGCAGCAAAGATAATGGCTCTGCTATTCATTAATTTTCAGGTACTTCTAGAGGATGATTGGAAACGTGTGGGCATTTGTGGCTGGCACAGTGATGGGCCAGGGAGGGTTGCTACTAGCACTTACTAGGCCGGGGATCCCAAAGGCCCCATCTGGCCCAGGGTACAACTACGCCACCCTCAATACCAGTGCTCCCCCAACTTAGTGCTCATCTACTTCCTCTCCTATTGTTTCGGAATCATTTCTTCATCCATGTATTATTGGTGAAGCCAGTCATATTTTAAAATTATTCTCACAAGGAGTCACATAAACAGGCTCTACTACAGTACACGTCCCTTGAAAAGAGCTCTTACGAACTTAAGAACAAGAACTTTGCAATGTTGAATACGTGCTCCCTGGTTGTGTATTTTTCCAGAAGAGATTGCATGAAGGTGAGTGAGGGAAAAGTACACCGATTTGAGGCAAATATTTAATTCTTTTGTTGTTAAATACACAAATGCACACACATGTTTTAAGCGATGGATTATTGCATCTACCTCTGGGTGGGGGAACCCTACTCACAAAGCTGGGGCCCCAGGACCACCATCACAGGACAAGATCTGCAAACACAGCACTACTGTATCACATAATTCTCTAGGTAGACAGTTTCTAGCGTGCCATTTTCTACCTTTAAGTGCCTATTTAATGAAGCATATTTACATTTTATGGGAGTTTTATAATTTTCAAAAGTAAAACCATGAAAGCAGCCCTTCAAGCCCCAAAAATGTATCTGTGTTTATATTCAGTGGACGAGGCACTCCGCAAGTCTGAGAACTTTAAGAACTCACGTATCTTATAGTTAGGTTTCCTAAGAATTACAGACATTTAAGCTCAGATCTTAATGACAAGAAGATGCCAGCAATAGAAAGATCAGAGGAGAAAACATTCTAGGGAGAGGGAGTAGAGC